AATGTATATGCAACAGTTTAGAATGTTCTGTAGGTGCCTGTTAGGCCCACATGTACTAGAGTCTCATTTAAGTCCCATGCTTATTTATTTTCTGCCAGAAAATCCAGCTGTTCTATCAGAGAGGTGCTATCCTGAGCTATTATAATGTTTATCTCTTTGTTTAGATCTAGTATGGTTTGCTTTATAAATCTGGATGTACCTGTGTTAGGTGCATAAATACTTAGAATTATTCTGTCTTCTTGTTGAATTGCTCCCTTTTCTATTATACCATGACCATCTTTGTCTTTCTTTACTTTTGTTGCTTTCAAGGCTATGCTGTCTGATAGGAGAAGAGATACACCAGCTTTCTTCTGGTTTCCATTTCCATGGGATATTGTCTTTTATCCCTTTGCCTTGAGTCTGAATGAGTCCTTGTGCATTAGATGCATTTTCTAGAGACAGCAGATACTTGGTTTATATTTTATTTTTATCCATTCAGACAGCCTATGTCTTTTGAGAGGGGAGTTCAACCGATTCACATTTATTGAAAGAATTGCTAAGTGAGGTAGATTTCTGTTCATCCAGTTGAATCAAATTTTACTGCTTTTTTTTTTTTTAATTTCTTGAGCCATGGTGGCACCCGAGCTCTAAGCTTTAGCATTTGGTTGATTTGAAAATCATGTGCTTATTTTGTGATGATTAGTCTGTAATACAGGGCTGGTCTTAAAAATTCTTGCAGGGCAGGTCTGGTCTTAAAAATTTTCCTCAGCATACTAAGAAGTATTTCTTATTCTAGTTTCTAGAAGTTAACTATGATCCACAACTACCAGTACTGTTCATCTTACCTCTAGTGGTACCCAAACTTTAGTGTTCATTTTTTGTAAATGCGATTCAGGAGAATATACAAAAACATTAAATCAGTATAAAAATTACCCAGACTACTCTAGTAAATACATAATGATATTCCATTACACTTTTCTATATTATAATTTTTATCATGTTGGATCATAAGTTTTTTTTTTTCTCACACAGAATTTATTATCTTAAGCATTGCAACATATAATTACTCTACTGTGCCTGGAAAGTAAGCACACACCATGTAGAGAGAGTTTAAAAATTTTGATGTCATGGTATGATTTGGGACAAGAAAAACATGAGGTTGAATTAACACTCACTCATAATTGTTTAATTATGAGAAAATTGCAAGTCCATTGAGGCCAATATTTCATTTTACTGACTGTTGTATATAGGACCTTAAATAATGTTTGGGAAATCGCAGATAATCAATGTGATTGTCTCTTTCTTTTGTTTTGTATCATGTTTTGTAATACATTCCATTAGAAAACTACTTAGGGTAATACTACTTAGTAAACTACATTTTAATTGAAATGCTTGTTTTTGAAAAACAGTTTTATATAAAAACAAGACCTATTATAGAAGGAATATTTTTCCAGGCCAGTTGTCAAGGTCATGCTTAAAACACGATTATACTCAGAGATGACAAAGTGAATTAAACCTTTTAAATTTAAATCTATGAATTAAATAAGAAATCTATGTTAAATACATATATCAAGAACTATGAATAACTGATTTTCAAATTTATGAATATTGGTAGAAATTGATACTTTCAAGTCCACACATTTTTGTCATGAACATACTCTTTGTTTTTTTCTTATTCTTGTTATTTCTTAATCATATTGTTAAATTATCAAGAACATTTCTAGGTAATAAGTATGGACATATTTTCTGAATGAAATTATACTTACTTCTCTGTGGCTATTGCCATACTGTATCCATAGAGGCTATGAACATCATACTGCTTCCCCCAGGTCTGCACAGAATCCATGCAGATTGTTTTAGAATACAGGAGTTTGTCAAGAATATCTTAGAGAAAATTGACAGGAAACATTTCTTAAGAGATATATTTCCATATTAAACTTTATATACCTTATTATGATGTCCTATGTAATATCATATTTAGTCAAAAATAACAAAAGAGGGCAATAATTTTATTACACTATGTTCTAATGAGGTCTTCACCTTCTACTCATGCTGAGCTTGGAATAACTATTTGATTTATACTTATTCCCACATTAATAATTATTCTACAAGTTTCCCCAAACCCAGTCCCAGCCAGAGTGTGGCAGGGCCCTGTCCCTTCCTCTGAGGTTGCACCAAATAACTGAGCAGCCTTGGGGCTATATGATGGTTATGGAAGAAATGGTCAGAGGAAGTTTCCTGGAAAAGGCAGCCTTCTCCTACAGCCTGGGCCTCAAGGTGGGGCAAGGACTGGCTGAGTGAAAGGATTCCCCTTTTCCCATCCAGTTTTTTATTTGTTTCATGCTTGGGGTTTCGATTGAAGACTTAAGAAAAAAAAAAAAAAATCCCAGGTCTAATAACTCACACCTGTAATCCCAGAACATTAGGTGGCCAATTTTAGAACATTACTTGAGGCCAGAAGTTTGAGATGAGCCTGGGCAACTTAGCAAAACCCCATCTCTACAAAAAATTAGCAGGATGTAATGATGCCCACCAATAATCCCAGCTACTCAGAAGGCTGAGGCAGGAGGATCACTGACTGAACCCAAGAGTTTGAGATTGAAGTGAGCTGTGATCACACCACTGAACTCCCACCTGGGTAATAGAGCAAGATCCTACCATTTAGCACATTCACACTGTTGTGCAATCCTACTTCTATCTAATTCCAGAGCATTCTCATTTCTCATCTCCATAGAAGGAAGCCCCATCCGCACTAGCAGTAACTTCACCCCCTCCCCCAGCTCTGCAGACCACAAATCCACTTCTTAGCTCTGTAGATCTGACTGTTCTGAACATTTCATATAAATAGGGTTCCTCTCTCTCTCTCTCTACACATATCTATCATATATAATAGAAGCATATATTGAGCATCCTATACCTACAGACTCATTTAAAAGATTTTTAGTGGATTACTTTACTTAAATTTAAGCCAAGGGAAGAAAATTTTGGCTAAGAGAAAAAAAGAAAACATTAATTTCAAGATTTTAAAATTATGTCAAATATTATAATTTAGTAATATATGTGAGTAATTACCAGTCAAGGAAAAAATTATTGTCAGTTGTTGGTAGTTATATCACCAAATAAAATTTACCTGGAGTGAAAGGTGGGTAATTTAATTTGTTTTCATTGCATCCTTTCTTTGAACCTTGAATAAAGCTGGAAACTTCATTCATGTCCTGAATGGACAAAAAAAAAAAAAAAAAAAAAAAAGAAAAGAAAGAAAGAAAGAAAGAAAAGCAGATGTAAAATAATTAAAATCGTATAAGCAGAAAATTTCTACTTGTTTGAAATTGTGTTATATACGGCGATCATGATACTATTTTATTCCTAAAAGACAAATATAAGCTACAAACATAAAATAAGCAGAATGTTTACATAAGATAACAGAGGTATCTTCAATAAGATGAAGAAATTTTTCTAGTTCTAATTTTACATATAAGGTATTAATCATATTATAAGTTCTAAGCAATTGTCTTTTCTGAATAGTTGGGTGGGTCTTCTCACTGTGAGTCAGCATGTCACTATACCCGTCCCCAGCATATTTATTTTTTCAGCTTATATTGTTTTGTATGGCATTTGTCCAGCTCACAGCTCCTGTACTCTTATTCAAAGTGAAAAAAAGGCAAACAGCCTTTGGTATTGGAATTAAAATAGTTAAGACTTCACAGAGTCCTTAAAACATCTCAAGGTACTAACCATAGGTCAGTTTGACCATATTTGGAGAACTAGGGACTTGCACAATTTTTGGAGATACAGTGATAGGATTTTTTAAATGTATTTTCTAGCCATTTAGATTGATGCCCCGATCTTCTCTCACCACTTACCAGTTACATGATCATGACTGATTAAGTACATAAGATCATACGTGGTAACACGTATTTTTATTTCTTCTTCTTTCTTTGCTAATTACATTGGGAATGTCTGTATATTTGTAAGTCTTATTCTCCATATCTCTTTAATAAACTATCTCTGCTCCCATAAAGGCATCACTCAGCCACATCCTTGTTTCTGTGGTAGTTTTATTCCCCTCAGAATTATATTTTATTTATTGCTCTCTCTTCTCCATCGACATTGCAGGTGCTTTAAGACCTAACTACCTGTTACCTTTTGGAGTTCTGCCCCCCTCTCTTATGCTTCCTAGAATCTTATTTAACCTTAATACTTCTATATTAACTGTTCAGTGGTTGTATCTATCTCTCCTATTGCTTTTTAAATCATTCTAAAACTTAGTAATCTTCTACAAATAAGGCCTGACAATTAAGTTCATGAACTCGTCTTAGGAAATGTACTGTATACCTCATTGCTGAAAATCACTCTCATCACCAGAAGGCCAAGGGGAGTACTTCAGAGTGGACATGGTAATATTTAGCAATGGGGTATTTAACATTTTGTCTAGGATGAGTTCATGCACTTAATTGCCTGACCTCATATCCTAACAGACTGACAGTGTCACTTACAAAGATGTATTAAAACATGTTTTTCTAAAAATGTAAAAGCAAATCATTTGTGTTACAGTTAGAGACAGATTTTTTTTCATAAAATTGCAATGACAACTAGCCCTACTAATTAAGTTTGCTAAAGCTTTTCTGACTATTGGCTTCTTCTGACCCCATTAACTGAACATGATTACTCAACTCTGTTACTCTCAAAACATTCCCATAAAAGTGTCTAGATAATGGATATGGAGAGAATCTACGGAAACTTGTCACATGGAGTTAAAATGAGTAATTAAAGGTGTTCAAGGTTTAAAAAGAAGAGATTTATCACTGCGATACAGATTTGAACAAGGAAATAGCTCCATTTCCCAAATACTTTCAGAATAGCCAGGAATAAGAGAAAATAATATAGTTATTCTAAAACACAAAAATACCTAAAGCTACCTGGGAATTATTTCTTTGAAATTACCTAGAGTATTAATCTCAATTTTATTTTCCAGAATCCAGTAAAAATAAATTTTAAACCTTTGTTGGAGACATAACCAGCAAATATCTTCTCCCATTCTGAGGGCTGTCTACTGGCTTTATTTACTGTGTTCTTGGCTGTGCAAAAGTTGTCACCTCTATAGTTTATCTTACAAGGGTACAAGTGAATCTTTCTAAAAGCAGAGTATGAATGTCTTAACTCAATAACTAAGAAAATGACATGAAGGTTATGT